TCATGCAGCAGTTGACAACAATACAAGTGAATACTGGGGAAAAGGCGATGCAGTATATGAGTCGCTGCCAGACACTTCGCGACCGCCTGCTTCGGTGCGGAGGCACAATCACTGAAGAAAGCTTCGTGACACTTGTTCTCGCCGGGCTCGGACCACAATGGAGAACCACCCGCTCGCTTCTTCGCACCCACGGACGAATTCCCGAGATGCACCTCTGCGCCGAGCTTCATGCTGAACAACAGGAGATGGACCTGTTTGAAGAACGACAACCACAAAGCAAGAAGCAACCGTTAGTCTTCTAGACTCAAAGAAGAAACAACAATCACAACCGACACAACACCAGAGGCCTCACCATCCGATGCAGCGGCCGCGCAGTGCGAAACAGTACGGTGCAGTGCAAAATAGTGCGGTGCAGTGCAGTACAGTGCGGTACAGTTTTGCAGTGCGGTGCAGTGCGGTGCAGTGCGGTACAGTGAGGTGCAGTGCGGTACCATGCGGTGCAGTGCGGATTTTTAGTGCACGACAGGGGCAGCTGGGCGACGGAGCTGGGGCGGGCAGGTGACGTGACGAGCGGGGGCCGACTAGGACGGGCGCTGGACGGCTACAAGACGGGCACGAAGCGGGCCGGAAAGGGGTGCGGGACGGGGCCGGCTACGAGAAGGGCGCGGGCCGGGGGCCGGCTACGGAATGGGCGCGGGGCGGGGCCGGCTACAGGGCGCGCGCGGGACGGGCGCGTGGGACGGGGCCGGTTACGGGGCGCGCGCGGGACGGGGTCGGCTACGGGGCCGGCTACGGGGCGTGCACAGGACGGGCGCGGGATGGGCACGGGACGGGCGCGGGACGGGCGCGGGACGGGAGCGGGACGAGGCCGGCTACGGGACGGGCACGGGACGGGGCCGGCTATGGGATGGGCACGGGACGGGGCCGGCTACGGGACGGGCCGTCTACGGGACGGCTATGGGCCGGGCAGGCTACGGGCCGGGACGGCTACGGGCCAGGACGACTACGGGCTGGGCAGGCTACGGGACGGGCCCGCTACGGGACACGCGCGGGCCGGCTATGGAACGGGGGGGGCGGATCGGCGACCGACTAGGGGCGGGCCGGCTAGGGGAACGGGCGGCTAGGACCTAGGGCGGAAGCGCCGGTGGGAGAGATGGACCTAACCTACTCATGATACCATGTTCGAATGATAGTATGATGCAGAATGAGAGAGTACATAAGAATATAGGCAAGTGTTGTACTCTCTAAGGCACAAACCTATACTGTCTACAATAACATACTAGAATATGTTTCGACACAACACACTTGCACAAAACCACCATGTATGCTCGTTTCTAAACATTGCGTTATTCTGAGATAGTATCAGACTAGGCTTGTCCTCCCCACCCGCGCTTCCGCCCTAGTCCCGCCCTGGACTCGCCCTAGTCCCGCCCTAGCTCGCACCACCATAGGCCCTTAGCGCTCCGCCGCCGCAGGCCCCTAGCGCGCGCAGCCGCAGGCCCCTAGCACACCGCAGGCCCCTAGCACGCCGCCAGCCCCTCTGCGTGCCGCCGCCGCGGGCCCCTAGCGCACCGCCGCCGCTGGCCCTTTGCGCTGCCGCCGCAGGCCCCTAGCGCACCACCGGCCCCTAGCGCGTCGCATGCCCCTAGCGCGCCGCAGGCCCCTAGCTCGCCGCAAGCCCCCAGCGTGCCGCCGGCCCCTAGCGCACCGCCGGCCCCCTGCGCGCTGCCGCCTCTGGGCCCTTAGTGCACCGCCGCCCCCCTGCGCACCACCGCCGCCCCCCTGCGTGCCGCCGCCGCTGGCCCCTAGCGACCCCTTGTGCACCGCCGCCGCTGGCCCCCAGCGCACCGCCAGCCCTTTGTGCGCCGCCGCCGCGGGCCCCTAGCCGCGCGGTCCCCCTGCCCGCCGGCCCTCGCTTGCTGGCCCTCGCTCGCCGGCCCCTAGCTCGCCGGCTCCTAGCTCGCCAGCCCCGGCCCGCTGGCCCTCGCTCGCCGGCCTCATCTCGCGCCGGCCCCAACTCCTGCCGGCCCCAGCTCCTACCAGCCCCAGCTCATACCGGCCCCAGCTCCTGCCGGCCCCAGCTCCTGCTGGCCCTAGCTTCTGGCGGCCCCCCAGCTCCTGCCGGCCCCAACACCTTCCGGCCTCTGCCGCCGTGCTGCCGAGCCGCCGTGCCGCCGAGCTGTCGTGCCGCTAAGCTGCCCCGACCTGCTGGCCTCTCGTCAACGCCGGCCCTAGTTTCCCTCTGAGCCAACGCTTTCGCCGGCTGTCTCCTCCACCCACTCCACCGCTCTCTACACTCTCCCTACCGCTCTCCACCGCTCCCCACCGCTCTGCACCGCTCTCCACCGCACTCCACCACTCTCCACCGCTCCCCACCGTTCTCCACCGCACTCTACTCCTTCTCTAGCGGTTGTCAGCTGCTGCAGCCGTGGTGATGGCAGACTCTGTGCTCCGCCTGGACACGGAGGGTTGTGTGGTCGACTTTGAGGCGTGGCTCGCCGACCTCCGCCGCCAGCTGAGGGGTCAGCGCCAGGATGGCCAGTCCCTGGCCGTCCACGTCGACGGTAAGCTCCCCTGCCCTGACCCGCCTGCTGCCCTCCTAGACGCCCCCACGCCCGTTGAGTGTGAGGCTTTTGAAGCTGCTGAGCTCGCCTGGTCTGTCTGGGAGTTGCGTGCGCAGCTTGCTATCAGTCACGCCCTCCCCCTGTCTGAGCGTCTCCGCTACCAAGCTATAGAGATTACAAAGGAGAACTAAGATGCTGTCATTGCGCGCTATTCCACTCCCTCCTCCGCCTCTGCCGGCCGTCTCCTTCTCCTCCTGCTCTTCCTTGATCTTGCATCCTTCCCCAGTGTCACTGATCTTGCTACTCGCTCTCGTGCACTCGAGACTAGCTACCGTGCTGTTAGCACTGAAGCTCAGCTCACTGTACTGCCTCCCTGTGAGAGCAGGATAGGTTTCCTAGGAGAAAGGACTATTTCTGTATTTTCTAGGACACTATTGATTACCTAGAATAATATTTTTAATTGCTCGGATTATTTTACCCAAAGTGGTTCTTTGGATTATTCTTGGTTATCATAAGTGTATGTGTTATCTAGATTAACTGTTGCATGCACCGAGTGTTCACCGTATTTCAGCGAATCCTCTAGAGCTTCTAGAACAGTTGCTTCTAGAGGAAATGGTTCCTCTCTGGAACATTTACGTTTTAGCTGGACTCGCGCCTCGCTCGGAGGACCTCGCGAGTGCTCGCCTATTAATTGTGTTGTTCCTCGGGATTGTCATTGAACATTCATTCTATAGTTTACATTCTCTTCCACACTACGCATAGCGCATTCGATCCTGTGACACTTGGTAATCAGAGCTTAAACCACTTCTAGCGACTGGGGCTTCGAAAACCGCACGAGCGAGCCAGTTCAAGCCAAGGGCGACAAGTAAGTACGGAATCCGCTTTTTGCAACTAATCCCTCATGTAATTTTTCGATGGCGACCCGGGCGCAGGAAGCATAACATAACGCGCTTTTAGAGGAGATCGCACAGTTACTTGACGCACTCGCTGAATCGCGCCAAGCAGCAGCGACGACATCGCAGTAGTCGTCAACGAGCCAACCCGAGGCATCTCGTTTTCGCGCACCTGAACCATTTGACCCCAGCGACAGATCGTGTGACGTTTCGATGGATCGGAGCCATCAAAATTTATTTCGCGGTGATCGGATGGTCAACGACGACTCATGGCAACAAAATGGTTCAGTTCGCAGTGACGCTCATGCGCGACCCAGCTCTCGAATGGATCTTCAACAACAGTCAACATCTACAGTGCCAAGCCATGTGGAAGTGGATTCGTGACGGAAGCCAACTTACCCGTTTCGAGCACGTAAATTCGGCCTACATCGCGCGCGAAAATATTAATCGGCACCGACAATTTTCGAGTGTGGCACAGTACACGCAGCAGAGGAGCAGTTTTACGTGCGAATACATGACATTATGGATGACAAAAAAGAATCAATCGTACCTGGCGGGACTGAAACCAGACGTGCGACGACAAGTGGCGACATCGAACTACAGTAGCTACCACGACCTCGTCTCTGCTGCCAAACGATTCGACATGTTCCGGAGTCACGAGTCACGACGCTCGGACGAAGGTGGCCCATCAAACCACTACTAACACAAGTGCTTGGCTTTTCCCACAACGGCCGACCCTGTTGAGATCGACCATTTCGATGCACGTTCGTGTAAGACAGAAAAAAGCGATGCAATTTCTGTGGCGCGAACGGGCACGAAATTGGTCAATGAAGCAGAATAATTACAGCACGAGCAGAATATCAAGCCACGCGCGGCAGCGGCACCCCTCCAATTTCGGCGAATCAAAAGCCAAAAATGGTCATCGCCAGTGATTGCAGCATGAAGTACCTGAAAACACAACCAACGCTGTCACGACGTCAAGTATGGTGGGTGGATTTCATGGAAACCGACTTCAACTATGACATCGTGTACAAGCCTGGATTGCGTAACAAGGCTGATGCACTTAGCAAACCGCCGAACCTCGCCTCCCTCCAAGTGCAAGGGATGAACCATCTCCTCAAAGGCCTCTTCCAGCATGGTTACAACACTGACCCAGAGATTCCAGCAGCAAATAGACGCATACTCCTTCTATGGGACCAAGGGCTCACATATAAGAAGGGTACTAAGAAGCTGTGGGTAGCTAACTATGCACCCTTGAAGCAGCTAGTGCTAGAGGAATATCACGACACTGCGTTAACTGGACACTTTGGCAGCAACAAGACCATGACAGGTGTCACAAAATATTACTACTGGCCGAACATGGCGACAGACGTCTAGGAGTTCGTTACATCTTGCGACACGTGCCAGCGAATGAAGAGCAGTATGCAAAAGAATTTTGGCCTCCTCCAACCACTGCCCGTTCCTGAACAGCCTTGGCATACAGTGAGCTTGGACTTCATCACAGGACTCCCGCATACGGCAGCAGGACACGATCATGGTAGTTATCGACAAATTCTAAAAAATGGGCCACTTCATCGCCACGCACGCGAACACCACTACCGAAGAAACAGCTCGCATGTTCTTCCACCGAGTCGCTTACCTCCATGGGATCCCCAGGACTTTGGATAATGACAGAGATCCGAAGTTTACTAGGAAGTTCTGGAAGGAACTCATGCGACTTCTTGGAACCCGTCTGGCAATGTCATCCGCCTACCATCCACAGACTGATGGGCAGACAGAACCACTGAACCAGATCGTGGAACAGTTGCTGAGGGTTGCTTGCAAGGACGAAACAAGCAAGTGGGACCAGCAGTTACCTCTATTGGAATTCTCCTACAATAATGCTACCCACTCTGCTACGAGACAGACACCGTTCTTCCTTTGCTACGGATGGCATCCCCTCACTCCACAGTTGCTTCTTGTTCCTGCTCAAGTCCAACCGGCACACAACTTCGTCACTGCCATGCATCAACTCTGGGATACTACGTAGAAGCGCCTGCAGAAGGTGCAAACCTCCCAGAAAGGACAGCGGATAAGAGCCGAAGGGACCATCAGATACAGATTGGAGACTCTGTTTTGTTGGACACCAGGAAACTTGACTTTAGCCACATCCCTTCTAAGCTTCGGCCTCGGTTCTGTGGACCCTTCGTCGCTGGCACATGTTACTCCTGCAACCTTCTGCCTCAAACTCCCGGCCACATGGAGGATTCACAATGCCTTCCATGTGCAACTCCTGAAACCCTACAAGGACCCGAATCACATCTACTCATGACGACAACTTCCACCGCCTACTCATATCATCGTCGACGGAGAACCTGAGTACGAGAATGAGTCTGTACGTGCTCATCGACACCGACGTCATGGCCACATCGAGTTCCTCATGCGTTGGAAGGGCTATGACCCGTTCGAGGACAGTTGGGTTAAGGAATCCGACATGGGAAATGCTACCCGTGCTCTCCGGCAGTACTTACTCAAGCAGGGTGTTACAAATACCACCCAGCTTTGAGGGGGGGAAGTGTGAGAGTAGGATAGGTTTCCTAGGAGGAAGGACTATTTCTACATTTTTCTAGGACACTATCGATCACCTAGAATACTCTTTTTAATCACTCAGATTATTTTATCCACAATGGTTATTTGGATTATTCTTGGTTATCATAAGTGTATGTGTTATCTAGATTAGCTGTTGCGTGCACCGAGTGTTCACAGTATTTCGGCAAAGACCTCGCGAGTGCTCGCCTATATATTGTGTTGTTCCTCGGGATTGTCATTAAACATTCATTCTATAGTTTACATTCTCTTCCGCACTTCGCACAGCCCATTCGATCCTGTGACACTCCCCCCCTCGGCGTTACCCTCTGTCTCCTTGCCACGCGCCTTCCTGACCGCCTCACCATTATCCGTGACCACTTCCTTGGCCTCCACCCTGCTGACCTAACCCTCGCTGACGTTGTCACCACCCTGTCCGCGATAGAGACCCGCAAGCGCACTATCGTCCAGTCCAGCGGTACTACGATGGTCCCTATCTTCCAGGGTTGTGCTCTCTCCCAGTGCACTTACTCTGACGTCTCTGCTGCTATCGTTGAGACAGCCCCTGCTGCTGAGACAGCCCCTGCTGCTGAGACTGCCGCGGCGGCCTCAACGCAGCCTCATCATGGTAAGGGTCGCCGACCCCGTAGGGGGCGTGGCGGCGGGAGGGGTAGCGGGGGTGGGGGAGTTGGCGGAGGTGGTACGAGTGCCGGTGGTGCAAATGAGGGGACCGGGGCTAATGCCCCGGGACCGCAGCAGCAGCAGCAGCAGCAATAGTAGCAATAGCAGACCCAGCACCAGCAGCAGCAGCAGTCGCAGCAGCAGGAGCAGCAGCAGTCGCAGCAGTAGGAGCAGCAGCGACAGCCGTGGGGACCCCCACCGCCGTGGTGGCCTGGAGGTTTTGGTGGTGGTAGCTGTGGTGGCGGCTCGCGCAAATCGGCGTCGGGTGGCGGCTCCAGTGCGGTGACCTGCCAGTACCAGATTCAGACTGGCCCCCACCGCAGCACCGTCTGCGACTGTCCCGTTGACACCGCCACCCACTGCTACCGCCGCCTCGACAACCTCTTCCATCTCCGGTTCGACTTTGTGCCAGACCTCCCCAACTGGCACAGCCTCGTACGTCGCCATGTGCCGGTCTTTGAGATGGATGCGGATCAGATTCGTTCTGCTTTGTATGTCATGTATGCTGATGACTCTAGTGTGATTGGATCTTATTACCTTGTGTTGCCTAGTGTATGTGTGTCCACAGTGTGTAGTCTAGGCTCCCCTGCTATGTCAGGCGTAGGACCTCCTGCCTTGTTTAGCCTCGGCTCCACCCTAGTCCCTCCGCCGACAGACGCTACCACCGCGCTCTCTTTCACACTGGACTCCGGTGCGTCCACCTACTTCTTTCGTGACCATACTGCGCTCACGCCGCTTCCCGCCCCTGCAGCTGTCGCACTTTGCTGACCCCTCCTCAGGTCTGGTACTTGCACGTAGCTCCATCACCCTTCCCTGTCCGGCAGTTCCCTCGTGCTCTCTTATGGGTCTCCACATCCCCTCGTTCTCCAGGAACCTAGTTGGTGTCGGCTGCCTTCAGGACTTCGGCGTCACCACTACGTTCCCTGGACACGAGTGGTATGCAGTCTGTACCGAGGCCGCCACTAGTACCCCTCTCACCACGTTCCCCCTGGACCCCGTGTCTGGCTTATTTACGCTCGACACCGCGTCCCCCCTGGTGGGGGCGTCCCCCTAGGTAGCCACGCCTTCCCAGGCCGCTGCGGCTTGCTCGTGTCAGTCGCTCACTCACCCGTCACTTCTGTGGCTCCACCGCCTAGGTCACCCCGCACTCTCGTGTCTGCGTCACATATCCCAGCATGGTCTTGTCTCCACCACTGCGTCACTCCAGACCCTGCACCTAGACGTCTGGGGCCCAGCCCTTGTCCCTCGGCAGCGTCGCGAGTGCTACTTTCTAGTGCTCACCGACGACTACACGCGCTACACCACTGTGTTTCCCCTGGACCGGAAGACCGATGTCCCTGACGTTCTTATCCCGTGGCTCGTAGATACGCGAGTACAGCGTGCCCTGCCTGTGCCTCGTCTCCACTCCGACCGTGACGGTGAGTTCACCTCCGGTCGGCTTGGCCCGTTCTATCCCTGCAGCAGAATGAGGTCGTTGAGCGACGCATCGGTTTGGTCATGGAGGTGGCTCGTACCTCCATGATCCATGCCGGTGCACCCCATTTTATGTAGCCGTTCGGTGTTCGCTATGCCGCTCGCCAACTTAACATGTGGCCACACTCCCAGCGGCCGCAAGTTTCGCCAACCCTCCTCTGGACCGGGTCCCTTGGTGACACATCTACGTTCCATGTCTGGGGCTGCCATGCTCACGTTCGTGCCTCTGTCTTCCTTAGATTCCCCCTCGATGCGTCTGAATGGCACTTTTACCACCCTCCGTCTCACTGCTTCTTTCACTCGCGTGATGTCACCTTTGACGAGTCTGTCTCCTTCTACACCCACTTTCCCCACCGAGGTCTCCTGATTACCCCGACTCTGTTCTTTGTCCCCATTCCCTCGGTAGCTCCTGCTCCCCTCCCTCCCCATCCTGCCCTGTTTGGTGTGTCTCACGTCACTCCCCTTCCCTCGGTTTCCCTGGCGGAGGAGTCTGCTGACTCTGGGGACCCTACGGCTCAGGGTTCGCCGCTTGTCTCCGCCCCGATGTCTCCTCCGCCGCCGCCGTCACAGCTGCAGCAGCAGCACATGCCGCAGCAGCAGCCGCCGCCACCATCGCCGCCGCAACCGCAGAGGTCCGCGAGCTCAAGGGGTTGCAGGCGCTGAGGAGGGTGCTGGTCCTGGGGGTGCTAGTTTTGGGGGTGCTAGTCTGGGGGGTATTATCGCGGCTTGTCTCGGCGGTCCTGGGGGTGGCACTGGTGCTTGAGAGGGTTCTTTTTCTGGGGGTGCTTGTCCTGGGGGTGCTAACGTGGAGAGTCCCGGGGGTAGCCATGGTGCAATGGGAGGCTCATGTGTCGGCATGGAGCATCAGCAGCAGTCACCGCCGGTGTCCGCCCTTCGCCTCCTCGGTCTTCTCTCCCCCGACCGCCCGCCCCCGCCTCCCCCGCGCCCCCTCCTCCGCCTATCTACGGCCCTGTGTTTCCTCCGTCAGACCTGTCCCCAGCTCGTTTCCCCCCTCGTTCTCCTCCTGTGTCTCTTGATCCGACGCCTCCCACCCACTTCTAGTCTCGCCGTCCATCTCGTGCTCGTCCTCTCTCCCTGGTTCAGCATTCTCACCCTATGCTGCTCCGTTCTTACGCGTCTCGTTCTCCTCTTCTCCCATCGCCTCTTGAGTCTTCCCTTGTTGTCTCTCCACTTCCTCTCTCTTACTATCTCTGTGCTACTAGTCCCCTTGTTCCTCAGGTCCTCGCCTCTCTTGTTACCGACCCGCCCGTTCGTGTCTCCAACCTTGACGCGCTTGTTGCTGCTATCTCTGACTCTGCCTCTACCCGCCGCCTTGACTATGCCACTGCTTTGGTCTCTAGCCCTGCCCATCTTCCATCCGTCGGGGATGCACGTGCCCTTGGTAGTGATGTCACAGAGGATAGATAGTTCGAGCTAGCTTTCCTGTCCGAGGCCGCTCCTCATCTCTCCTCCTTGCTTCTAGTCCCTGAGGGTGACCCAGACGTTCTTGACATCCCAACCCCTCGCACCTACACTGAGGCGACCTCGGGACCCTGGGCCTCTCAGTGGATAGCTGCCATGGACACGGAGATGGCATCTTGGAGATCCACCGGCACCTACGTCGACGCAGTTCACCCACCTGGGGTGAACGTAGTCGATGGTCGGTGGCTCTTCAAGGTGAAGCGCTCTCCTGGAGAGCCGTCGGTGTTCAAGGCGCGCTATGTTGCTAGAGGCTTCAGTCAGCGCGAGGGCGTTGACTTCTTTCAGACCTTCGCCCCAACCCTGAAGATGACCACTCTTCGGGCGCTGCTTCACATAGCAGCACAACGCGACTACTAGCTGCACTCCCTCGACTTCTCTGCAACATTTCTCCAAGACAGTCTGCACGAGCAGGTCTACCTGCGCTGTCTGCCAGGCTTCAATGGCACCTTCGCCCCTGGGACCGAGTGGCTTCTTTGGCATCCAGTTTACGGCCTGCGGCAGGCGCCCCGTTTGTGGCACGACACGCTGCATGCTACGTTAGCTGACCTGCAGTTCTTCTCGTCCTCTGCTGACCCTTTGCTCTTCGTTCGCTCATGCTTGAATCCATTCTACATCCTAATCTACGTAGACGACCAGGTCTTTGCTACTGCAGACGGAGACGCACTGGCCTCCGTGAAGGCTGAGCTGCTGAGGAGACACATCTACACTGGCCTAGGAGAGCTGCGCTATTACCTTGGCCTGCAGATCTCCCGAGATAGAGCAGCGTGCACCATCACTCTCACACAATCACACGTGGTGCATCAGGTCCTTCAGAGGTTCGGTTTTCAGTTCTCCTCCACACAGCCTACACCTCTGCCAGTAGATCACAGGCTCACGGCTCCAGTCCATGAGGAGTTTGTAGAGCCTAGTGGTCCGTACACAGATCTGGTGGGCTGCCTCATGTACTTGATGACTTGCACTCGTCCAGATCTTGCATACCCTCTCAGTATCCTGGCTCGCTTTGTGGTGATACGCAGACACTGATCACAACACTGGTCGGCCACTAAGAGGGTTTTGCATTATCTAGCAAGTACATCAGGCATGGGGCTAGTGCTAGGAGGATGCAGGGTAGGCATCAGGCAGGGCGCACGGACGCTTCGTGGGTGGACGACGCAAGGACGCTCAGGTCCTCCTAGGGCTACTGCTTTAGCCTTCGTGGGTGGACGACGCTATCTCGTGAAGGTCCACCCGGTCATCGTCTGTTGCATAGTCTAGCTGTGAGGCCGAGATCTACTCTAGTGCCATGGCGGCACAGGAGCTTTGCTGGCTGACGTTCTTGCTCACAGACTTAGGTGAGCGGCCTAGCTCTGCCCCGGTCCTGTACGCTGACAATAGGGCCATGATCCTCCTGTGTCAGAAGCCTCAACTAAAGGGCAGAGCGAATCACATCCAGCTGCGATATTTCCTCTTGCGTGAGCTACAGCAGCGCCGCCAGGCCCGCATAGTATACTTGGCCTCCGGTGCCAACACAATTGATATCTTTACGAATGCGCTTGCGCCTAAAGATCATCAGCGGCACCGTGTACAGCTTGGTCTAGTTCCAGTAGCTCCTCACTTGCTAGGACCTTGATTGTGTACTACTCATATTTTCTTGACTGGCCTTGTGGTCAGGGCCTTAAATAGGATTTCAGGCATCCTGACCAATCAGGGCGGGCCCCCAAAAAAGCGTGTACTAGTCAGGGTTTGCTGCTAATGTTCTTGTTGATTCCTCGAGGGGGTTCCCGATTTATATACTGTGGCCTCAGGGTAAATTCTGAAATGCGGGAAACCTTGCGAAGTCACTATTTTAGTGAAGGTGGGTCCAACTTGAAACTGAGAGAAACTCAATTTTTTTGAATGGACTGACAGCCCCATTCGGCAGAGTCATGGCAGTTCGACAACGCAGGCGTGATGTACAGAGCGAACATGTGCAAGCATGTGATTGGCTGGGGGAGTTCTAAACGAGAGTTTGCGAGCTGCAACAAGTTGCACGCACTTGTGCAACCCCACTACCTCGTCATCATCTAAGTGGCCCCAACTTGACTTCAAGTTGGACCCGTGTTCACTACTCATGCAAAATCACAAAATGACTTCCTGATAGGTTCACATTTCTCGCCATCTGGAGCAGCCAAATGAAGGCGCGTTTTCCATGACCCCAGCCCGCAACCCTTTTCCCATGTCGTGTCCAAACGTTTGAAACCAGGTTCAACCGAATTCAATCGCGGCCGAAAGACTGCAGTAACATGCATGGTTCCATTGAGGCACGTCAACTAGCTTATGTGTAAACACACCTGTTCTCACTAAACTAAATTCGTCGCGTGGGCAGGCACTTTCGCTGCCGAGCTCCTGCCCAACACGAAACGAAATTTTCTGCTGCCCGCACACTTGTCCCCCCTATATCATCTCAAGGGTCCCAAATTCCCAATCAAGCTGGGTCCAACTCGCCAGATGGATCACTTGAAGGGTGTCCATGCTGGGTTGAGCAATTAGCCGCGATTGGCCGAGTTTGCATGAACTTCAGCCCACGGGGCAAATCAGACCAAGGATTTTTTCATTGTCCAACTGTCAGACATAATTTTGCTGAGAGCATGAGCTTTTAGTTGAAAACGAATTCAGCCCCTGAAAATTCAGACGAAGTCAAAGGCGTATGGCCCACAAAAAGAAACGGAGACTTGTGTGAAAAAATCGACGTTAGATCCTCATCGAGCGGTTATGACGGCCAGTTTGATGAGTGTGGTTTGGATGCTGAAGTACTTGACGGAGTTTTGATTTGACGTAACCTGGGCAATACGATTTCGATGGAAGTCAAGATTTTAGGGTTGCGTAGGGGTTGTGGGTTGTGCAGTGAGGAGAAGCCGAGATTTTCTAGTGGGAGTGGGGGGGGGAGGAGGGCTGTCTCTAGCATCGAGGACCAAGGGAGCTTCGGAGGACTGTCTCTAGCATTCATGACTAAGCTGAATTTTCGGAGTGGCGGGGGGTTTCAAAGGATTGTCGCTAACATTGAGGACTTAGCCGAGATGTTTTTGGGCGGAAAAAGAAAGGGGTACCCAAGTGGCACACTTGCATTTGCAAGACTAGAGGAATCAGGGTTATCCCTGAAGGCATACTGACAGCTCAGGGCTGGTACACGAACACTTTACTGAATCCTCAGGGTTGCACTATGATTCAAAACTGAATTCACAAGGTGGAAAATGACCTTAACCATATTTTTCAGGATTGGCACCTAATTGGCATCATGAAAATCAAGAATTAAGGATAAAACATCATAATATCTGAGGCCCTGCTTATGGCTCTTGTTCCAGAGGCCGGACTTGTAGTGCCGCCCTGGGTTGCTCTTGTCAAGTTTGTACTCTTCTGACTAGTCTTCAGACCCTTGCCTCAAAGGTTAGACTAGTAGTGCCACCCTGAGCTCCGTGTCTCTTGCTAGGCACTGCCCCTTGTCCTAGGGGGTGTGTCAACTTACAGTGGCGGAAACAATTGTCCATATGTTTTGCAATATTTTGGGGTTTTAGGCTTTAAGACCACTATACATTAAGCCTTAATGTTTAATGGTGGTACGCTTTGGGAGGAGCACATAGTGGATACGTTAACCGCACAAAAATCCAGAATAGTACACTGGGTCTAACTGATATCCCAGAAGACAAATAAATCGTACATCCGGACAAATATTTCCAAGCAGAGAGAGCAAACCTCATAACTGTGTTTCAGGTACATAGCCCACCGACCTTTGGCCTTGCTTACCACCTACACCCTCCTAGGCATGTTACCTACTAAGTTAGTACAATCCTCGGCAAGGAACTTCTTGCACTCTTCTTGGACCCATCATTTTGCATAAGGGGGTGAGCACTAGGAAAATCGTGAAAAAAATGGGCGTATGCAAGAGTATTGTAGACCATTTTGTATTGAATGGTATCTTTGAGACTAGCCATGCAGAGGTGTGGCCAAAGATGCAATTAGCTGGTCGGACCCATCTTATCACGGATTGTATTCTCGTACCATTGTAGGGTAAAATAACGAATAGAGTGGTCAAATCTAGCGTAGACACCGCGAAACTAAGGGAAACGTTGCACGGTTGACTGTGCACCCTTGCAGCATTAAAAACACACTAAGGTCCGCGGGTCTAGTCACGGTGCAGCAGTCGTAGAAGCCATGACTGTTCTGGAAAAATATCAGGGGCCGGCTGCTATTCGTGAAGTCGCATGCTGAGTGGACAATTAGTTGGGTTCTGAACCCCACTCACCCGTCTCACCTCTAAAGTTGGGTTCAAAACCCCACCCACCCGTCTCAACTCTAAAGTTGGGTTCTGAATCCCACTCACCCATCTCACCTCTCCATTTGGGTCCAAAAACCCACTCACCCGTCTCACCTCAATAGTTGGGTTATGAACACCACGCACCCGTCTCACCTCTGCGGTTGGGTTTTGAGCCGCACTCACCAATCTCACCTCTCCAGTTCGATTCTGAAACCCACTCACCCGTCTAACCTCTACAGTTGGGTTCTGAACCCCACAAACCCGTCTCACCTCTACTGTTGGGTTCTGAACCCCACTCACCCGTCTCACCTCAATTGTTGGGTTCTGAACCCCACTCACCCGTCTCACCTAAACAGTTGGGTTCTGAACCCCACCAACCCGTCTCACCTCAACCGTTGGGTTCTGAACCCAACTCACCCATCACACCTCTGCGGTTGGGTTCTGAACCACACTCATCTGTCTCGCCTCAATAGTTGGGCTCTGAAAACAACTCACCCATCCATCCCCAATTGTTGGGTTCTGAACCCCAGTATCCCGTCTCACCTCTACTGTTGGGTTTTCAACCCCACTCACCCGTCTCACCCCAATAGTTGGGTTCTGAACCCCACTCACCTGTCTCACCCCAATAGTTGGATTCTGAACCCCACAAACCCATCATACCTCTACTGTTGGGTTCTAGCCCCACTAACCCGTCTCACCTCAATAGTTGGGTTCTGAACCTCACTAACCCGTCTCACCTCTAGTGTTGGGTTCTGAACCCCACTCACCCGTCTCACCTCTGCAGTTGGGTTGTGAACCCCATGCACCCGTCTTACCTCTGCAGTTGGGTTTTGAACACCACTCACCCATCTCACCTCTCCAGTTGGGTTCTGAACCCCACTAACCCGTCTCACCCCAATAGTTGGGTTCTGAACCCCACAAACCCATCTTACCTCTACTGTTCAGTTCTGAACCCCATTCACCCATCTCACCTCAATAAAAAGGATCTGAACCCCACTAATCGTCTCACCTCTACTATTGGGTTATGAACCCCACTCACCTGTCTCAACTCAGCATTTGGGTTCTGAACCCCACTCACCCGTCTCACCTCTCCTGTTGGGTTCTGAACCCCACTCACCCGTCTCACCTCTGCAGTTGGGTTCTCACCTCAGTAAATGGGTTCTGAATTCCACTAATCGTTTCACCTCTACTATTGGGTTTGGAACCCCACTCACCCGTCTCAACTCAGCAGTTGGGTTCTGAACCCCACTCACCTGTCTCACCTCTCCAGTTGGGTTCTAAACCGCACTCACCCGTCTCACCTCTACTGTTGGGTTCTGAAACCCAATAACCCATCTCACCAGTACAGTTGGGTTCTATACCACACTCACCCGCCTCACCTCTACACTTGAGTTCTGAACCCCACTCACCTGTCTCAGCTCTATAAATGGGTTCTGAACCCCACTCACCCGTCGCACCTCCGCAGTTGGATTATGGACCCCACTCACCCATCTCACCTCTGCTGTTGGGTTGAACCCCACTCAGTCGTCTCACCTCTGCAATTGGGCTCTGAAACACACTCACCCGTCTCACCTCAATAGTTGGGTTTGGAACCCCACTCACCTGACTCACCTCTGCAGTTTGGTTTTGAACGCCACTTACTTGTCTCACCTATGCGGTCGGGTTCGGAACCCCACTCACCCGTCTCACCCCTACAGTTGGGTTTTGAACACCACTCGCCCGTCTCATCCCTATAGTTGGGTTATGAACCCCACTCACCCGTCTCACCTCTACAGTT